ATAAATAAAAAATGACTTAATAAAACTATTGTTTAACATCAATATTAGATTAAACAATCGAAATATGCATCTTATTTTAAAAAATACGAAATATTTATGAAAATTGATACAAATTTCATAAAAAATTAAAAAACTATAAAACCAAAATCACATATATTAATATAGTAATGCTAAAAAATCCTATATGCTTTTTGAGATATATTTTAATTAAAATTTAAAAAACACATTTAAATGTACTAATGTTTATTATACAGATTACTATTTTTTTAAATTTAAAAAACTATACATCTAATTAAAAAGAATATATTAATTTTTTACATAAATTTATTTGCTATTTACTTGATATATTGAAAGAACTACAATCCTCTATTTCAAGCTCTTTTACGAATTTAAATTCATCATTAGTAAGATTATTCAGTAAATCATTATAAAACGTATAAAACCTTGGAGTAGAAACTAAAAAATATTAAAAAAATAACATTTACATAAAAATTTACATTTATTAGATATTTGAGACAATGCAACAATACCTCGTAAGATAGATTGACGTAATTCAATATTCTTTTCTATTTCATGTTTGATGGCAGTATCTTTCAATTTTGAATTTAATATTATCGAATATTTAACAGAAATACTATCTAAAACTGACATATAATTAAAACAGTAATAGTATTTTTTCTAGTATACCAGTTTGAATTTCCCTGGGAACTAAATTGCATAATTTAATCAATATTAAATTCGAAAATATTTTAATGTCATGACAATCATCTAATCCACAAATTACGATATCCAAAAATTCCGAAATATCCTCTACATATGCAAAAAACATCTGACAAATAAAATATAACATTTCATATACACTCTTCAATTAATTAGTAATAAACACTTGCGAAAATTAAGTACCTTTCTTAATTCAAAAGAATCATCAACGATATGAATAAATGGTCCCATTTGAACTTTTTTCATTAAATTATCTTTTATTGTTGTTTCTTCATAAAGGACAGCTAGAAATTTTCGCATGTGAATCTGAACAAGATAAAACTTATTATGAATAGCGATATTCAAAACCTCAAATATCAATTTCTTAACAATCTTTCTAAAATTAGCTAAACATTCCTTTAAATTTCAGATACCAGTTGAGAATTTTCTACTAATAATAAAAGCTCAGCAATTATAAGACTTAAAAAACTATCGAATTCATTTACGGAACTAATAAAAGTAAATTTTATTGCAGAAATAGCAACCAATTGAATCTCTATTGATGGATTTTTAATATTTTTCTAAATAATACTATTAGTTAAAGAAAAATAAAAATAAAATACCTGAAATTCAGGAAAAAAATAATGGGGTTTAAGCAATGCAAGCCTTCCAATACATTCCGCTGCTATAGGTCTGCAATTTTCATCGGATATAGAACATTTAAATAAAATGTTTAGAACATCAATGAAATATGCCATGAAATTTGAACTTCGGTCATGATGTATAATTATCTTATAATACATAAATTTACTTGTAAACAAAAAAAATAATAACCTCTTTTAACGCAATTAATAACAAACAATATTCAGAAAACGTTGATTGTAATTGATTGATAAAAAATGGAAAATATGTACTAATATTTCCTGCTATAATGTTCCCAAGAGCAAATGCTGAAATTCTTTTAAGATCATCTGATGAAGAAAAAAGCTGTGAAAACACTACATCCATAATATTAATATATTGAGCCATATTCCTAAAAAAAATCAATTAATTTTAAAAAAAAACACACTTTACATTTTTCTTCCATATTCTCCAAGAACCATCAAAAGAAAACATTTTTTTTTGACAACTTCTGAAACTTTTACCTCTTCAATAAAATTATTTATTAAAAATTCAAAACCATTTTCAAGAATTAATGCAATAATCTTTGAAAAAAAAGACATTTCATTAAAAGAAACATCTATAACAAATAACTTTTTAAATAAATAATTGGAATTCCCTTTTTTTATAGAAACTTTCATAAAATCCAAAACCTTATCTTGAATTTCTATACTATTTTGTACCAAAGGAGTCCTTATCAAATGCATAATATGATGAAATAATTCTTCAAATATAGTAAAAGAGATATCAATATACTTTATCAGATTTACCAATAACAAAATTGTGCTTGAAAGAATATAATATTCTTTTGAGAATATAATAAATATAATAGTATCAACGAGCTTCCTAACAACTGAGAATTCTAGAGTATTTTCAGATATTTTCATAAATCCACTGAGTGCTAATAAGCAAGGAAGTTTTAAACTTTTGTTATTTTTTTCTAAGAATTCTAATAATAAAACAACAGTCTTTGTTACCCACTTACAATCCAATTTAGAAATCCTAAAAGTAGTAATATCTCTAATGATTTTTATAGTTAATAATTGAGTAGTTTCATTATTAAGTTTTTCTGTCAAAATATTAAGGACTAAATTTTGTTTATTTTCATCTAAATTCATATAAATCAGAAAATGGCCCATGGCTACCATCGCATTTTCTTCCACATCATTATGATTATTAGCTACAGAAGCCTTTTCTAACACAATAAAATATAACTCGTCAAAAGACTTCTCAAAGTCATCGCCATTTGAAGGAAGAAGTTTTATTAAAAAAGACAAAGAACATAATGATTCTGCTGAAATTTTATAAAATTTATTTTGAATTGATACAGTAATTCCTTTTATAAAAATATGAAGATAAGGCTGAATTATATAGTAAGATGTTTGAGATAACATTTCTTTTACAAAACGAAGAGCCTCAATCCGTAAATCGGTTATTGCAGACATAGAAACAGAGCTTGTTTCATTATAGAACGAAGATGCTAACAATATTTCTATAGGTCTCATAAAATATTGATATTGACTATTCATTTCTTTTGTCATAACTTTAGTTAACTCAGTAATTAAAACATATCCTGCTTTGCAAGTAGAAATCGAAGATGACATGAGTTGTATAGAAAGTGCTTTACAAATTTCTGGAAGAAGAATAGATATTTTTTTCTTAAATAAAAAAGGTAATTCCAAATATATATTAGACGCATTATTCTCCTTGAATTGTTTAAAGTCTAAATTTCCAGATCTTTTGAGCAGTAAATAAGACGTTTGCCTGATCAAAGATGTGAATGTATTCAAAATATCATATCTCACAACTTCTTCACGTTCATTGAACTTCTGGACAAGAGAAATTGCTACCTGAAAATAATGTTGTTCAAAAAGAGTTATATAAGTGTTAATAATCGTATTCAGGAGCTTACAGGAATATTTTCGAATTCTCCATGATATATCATCATTATAATAATCACTGAAAAAATGAACATATTATTTGAAATTTCAAATAAAAATTACCTATTATCAGACTCATCAGAACTAGATTCTTTCTCTACATTTATATCATTATTTGTATAGTTTGGATCATAATTAAGTAATAGAATCAATTCTTCAACAATATAGGGTATATACAGTTTTGTTTCCTTGTCAAAATGATGTATAAAAATTTCCAAAGTTTGTAAAGTTAATTCACGAAGTTCATCGTCATCTTTTTTAAGCGTTTTTAATATAACTGGAATAATGAATTTCAAATATTTAGAAAATCTATAATTAGAAAAAAAATTAGATACAGAGATAGAAAAAGTAGAACTAGAAAGCTTCCCAAAAAGAAATACCAAAGTTTTGAGTATATCATTAGATTCTGTATCTAACTTCTTTAAAATATTATCCATAAAAAGCGAAAATAAATCATTTGACAAATATAAAGAAAAAAGTCCTTTTTAATAATTAAAAACATAAAAAAAAATGTTCTTACCAAGTGCAATAACAGAACGCTTTCTGATTAAGGTATAAGGACTATCTAATAAATGAACAAGCATTGTTTGTATATGTTTTTGTTCCGCAAAAGAAAGAGAAGCTATTTCTACTCCAAACCTAGATAATAGCTCAATCATAACATTAATAATATCCATTTGATTCTCCAAAACGGTATCCTAGCATAACAATTGAGGAATATCATTATATTTTCTTATTATACCGTCATTAATTGAGAAAGAAGTTTTGGAAATAAAAAATGAACAATAGTAACAGCAATAGGAGAAGGAGATGGAGTCTCTATAATAATATTTCTAAGGACTAATGACAAAAAATTAAATAATCAATAAATATTAATATAAATAAAATATACCTGTAAAAGAAATATCTCTTAACATATTTTTTTCCAATATTCCTTCATTTGACTCAAAAAAGTCACAGAGAATACCTAAAATAATCACCAAATGATTATTTCCACATTTCTTTGCAAAAGAGGTAAGACTTTAAAGTATATCAACTGCTAATAAGAAATTTAAAAATACGCTATACCATTTAATTGCAAGATTTTGTACATCGCCATTTTTATCTTTCAAAAGACGAACCAATGAATCAATAATTTGTACACATGCATCTTCTTCTAATTTGGAAATAGTGGATTTCTGGAATTCATTCATAAGGTCAACAACAGCCATATATACCAAATCTTTATCTTGACTCTTCGTCTACAATTGTTAGTATAATATTTATCTAGAAATCATAGCCTTAAAAACTTTATCAATTAAACTATGAATAGAATAAGAGTTTAAAGTCATCTTTAAGTATCTTTAAAATAATTCTTTAAACATCAAAAATTAAATTTAAAAATATATTTATTAAAGACATCCTCTTAAACACATTTTATATATAAATACTTTTCAAAATTAAATAAAATTTTATGAAACAATTTCAAAACAAAAGAAAATTTAAAACAAAATAAAAACATGTATGTAATTTATTATTACAAAATTAGCATATTTTATTTATCATGTATTTATATTAAATAAGCAATATTTGCTTCAAATAATTTGACCCAAAAATACTACACTTTACGTAATAAGAGCATCAAGCATTAAATAATGTAAAAGAACTTTAAAAGTTCTTATCAATGTTTATAAATTAAGAAAAACTAAATACTTGAAAAAGTGGTACCACTGGGGTTCGAACCCAGGCCTCTTTCGAGATGAGAGATATTACAAAAGCTTAAATCTCACGCCTTAGACCAACTCGGCCATAGTACCATCGAATTCGTAACGATTTAAAATATATAAAAAGTTATATATTTTGTATTGATATTTACAAAATTATAAATATTTAAAAGTTCCACAAATATTAAAAAAGTTTTAAATATTTAGTACTCTTGACTCTTATAAAATAGCGCAATATTGTTTTTATGTTTTAATCTTTAAAGATATATTTTTTTATTCGAATATTATATATACAGCCTCTACGTTTTTTATCCAAAACATTCACAATTCTTCTAACATTTAAAAATTATCAAAAATACTTTTATAATGCTGTAAACTGTAAAATTTTTCATAACAATTTTATAAATTAAAAGTAATATACTTAATTTTATATATCATTTATGAAAATAACAATAAAACGACATTTATAAAGATTTTTATACAAAAAATACAGAAATCAATCTATAAAATTAGTTAAACGTGTCTCTTATAAATATATGTTAATCGTTACAAAACTAAAATAGCCTTTATTTTAAATTACAATATTTATTAAACAATATTTTTATCATTTTATATAATATTTAAATAATTTATATTTTTTAAATAACTTGTTAATTTTTCAAACAATTATTTTAAAAAATTGTCATAAATCATAATATTTTATAAGCATAACATAAAAACATTTTCAGTATTTAACTTTAATATTTTTCAAATATATTATATCACTCCATTAACAAAATACATATACAACATATATACAGATATATTTCAACTAATTATATATAATATCATGTTAGAATATTAAAATTAATATGTCGATAACTTTATTTCAAAATCCGGTTAATCTTAATATATAACCTTTTCATCAAAATAGCTTATCAAACATTGACATTTTTTTTTAAATTTTAAAATATATATAATTATATAAATATATTCAATACTAAAGATTTTTTATGACTTATTCTTCTAAATTTTTTAAATATTTTCTATATATAAATTCAAATAAACTTGATCGCTTTATATTATTTATAAATCACCCAAATTTTTAAAAATCAAAAAAAATAAAAAAAGCTACAAGAAAAGCACTAAGATGTCAGAAGAATTGGGAAAAGGGGGCGTAAATAAAGAGAAAAGAGAAAATGTGTAAGTTATTTAAAAATTACTATACTTTCTAAAAAATATTAATGTTTATGTTTTAGAGTAGAAAAAATAGAATCTGAAAATAAATTGGCAATGAGCATTTTTCGAAAAAAAAAAAAGCAGAATAGTCTTATTGTCGATGATGCAGCCAACGATGACAATAGTGTAATTAGCCTAAGCAATGCTACAATGGAAATATTGCAGCTTTTCCGCGGAGACACTGTTTTAGTCAAGGTACTCCTCTTTATTTACTTAATGTAATTCTGATAAATTAATAGGGAAAAAAGAGGCGTGATACTGTATTAATAGTTCTCGTTGATGATGATATGGAAGAAGGTGTTGCACGAGTTAATCGAGTTGTTCGTAATAACCTTCGAGTTCGTCTTGGCGACATTATCACAATTTATCCCTGTCCTGATATCAAATATGCTTCAAGAATATCAGTTTTACCATTAGCAGATACTGTTGAAGGCCTTACTGGTTCTCTTTTTGAAGTTTATCTTAAACCATATTTTGTTGAGGCTTATAGACCTGTACGCAAAGGCGATCTTTTTACAGTATGTTTTAATCTTATCAGCGCTTCAAAAGTTTATCGATTCTAGGTACGTGGTGGGATGCGTCAAGTGGAATTCAAGGTTATTGAGATTGATCCCCATGAATATGGTATTGTCGCACAAGATACAATTATACATTGCGAAGGAGAACCTATTAGTAGAGAGGAAGAAGAAAGCAATCTTTCTGAAGTAGGATATGATGATATTGGAGGATGCAGGAAAAAAATGGCACAAATCCGAGAATTAGTTGAATTACCTCTTCGTCATCCACAACTCTTTAAAAGTATCGGTATCAAGCCTCCTAAAGGAATTCTTCTATACGGTCCTCCTGGAACAGGAAAAACGCTTATGGCTAGAGCTGTCGCTAATGAAACGGGGGCCTTTTTTTTTCTTATTAATGGTCCTGAAATAATGAGTAAAATGGCTGGAGAATCAGAAAGCAATCTTCGAAAAGCATTTGAGGAAGCAGAAAAGAATTCGCCCTCCATTATTTTTATTGATGAAATTGACTCTATAGCTCCTAAACGCGAAAAAACAAACGGAGAAGTTGAACGTAGAGTTGTTTCACAGTTACTTACTTTAATGGACGGAATGAAAGCGCGTTCAAATGTAATTGTCATGGCAGCTACTAATCGTAAAATTTCTATTATATTTTTTTCTGATTAAAAAGTTATAGGTCCAAATTCTATTGATCCAGCTCTTCGTAGATTTGGTAGATTTGATAGAGAAATCGATATTTCTATTCCTGATCCTACAGGAAGACTTGAGATTCTTCAAATCCATACAAAAAATATGAAATTAGGAGATGATGTTGATCTTGAACAAATTGCATCAGAAACTCATGGTTATGTTGGAAGCGATATTGCATCTTTATGTTCTGAAGCAGCCATGCAGCAAATTAGAGAAAAAATGGATCTTATTGATTTAGAAGAAGATACTATTGATGCAGAAGTTCTTGATTCTTTGGGGGTAACTATGGAGAATTTCAGATTTGCATTAGGTGTTTCAAACCCGTCAGCTTTGCGTGAGACAGTTATTGAAGTACCTAATGTTCGATGGGAAGATATTGGAGGGCTGGAGGATGTTAAAGAGGAACTTAAAGAAACAATTCAATATCCTGTAGAACATCCTGAAAAATTCATCAAATTTGGTATGTCACCAAGCAAAGGAATATTATTTTACGGCCCTCCAGGAACAGGGAAGACTTTACTAGCCAAAGCTATTGCAAATGAATGCGCAGCAAATTTTATCTCCGTAAAAGGACCAGAATTACTTTCTATGTGGTTCGGTGAAAGTGAATCAAATATTCGAGACGTAATTTTCCACTTTTTCATTTAGAAAATACTTAAGGAAATAGATTTTTGATAAAGCACGTGCTGCTTCTCCTTGCGTTATATTTTTGGACGAACTTGTTTGTTTTTTTATGATTTTTATTATGTATTAAAACATATATAGGATTCTATAGCAAAATCTAGAGGAGGCAGTATCGGTGATTCTGGAGGAGCTTCTGATCGTGTAGTAAACCAGCTTCTTACTGAAATGGATGGGATAACATCAAAGAAAAATGTATTTGTTATTGGTGCTACTAATCGTCCTGATCGTACGTTATTTTCTATAAGTTTTATATTTTTAATATTTTTATAGAAATTGATCCCGCTCTTATGCGTCCTGGCCGTTTAGATCAGCTAATTTAGTATATATTTATTATTTTATTTGCATCAATACTGATATACAATAGCGTTCCACTTCCTGATATGGCATCAAGATTAAGTATTCTCAAGGCTCAACTCCGCAATAGTCCTGTTGCTTCAAATGTCGATCTTTCTGTAATTGCAAAAGCAACTCATGGATTCTCAGGGGCAGACTTAGCCGGATTAACTATGAGAGCTGCAAAATTAGCGATTAAGGTTTAAAACCTTTTTCTAATATGTTATTTATTTAACATTGTTTCTCAGGAATCTATATCCTATGAAATTAAAAGAGAAGGATCTCAGAAGGAAAAGAAAGACGAAATAGAAGATATAGAAATGGATGACCCAGTTCCTGAAATTACCAGAGCACACTTTGAAGAATCAATGAAATATTCACGAAGGTATATCTTAAATTATATTTATTTTTTTAAAATAATTTTATCTATATTAGATCGGTGCTAGATTCTGATCTTAGAAGATATGAAATGTTTGCAAACCAATTTAATCAAAACCGAGGTTTTAGCACATTTAAATTTGAAGATTCCATAAATAATAATAGAGCCGAAAATTCATCAGGAGCTATATTTAGTGAAGAAACAGGGGATGATCTGTACTTATAGATAACACCTAGTAAATTCATAGAAATAACACTTGATATTTATAATTTTCGGAAAAAAATATACAGAACAAAATATCAATCCTTCAAGAGTTATTATATTTTACTAATAAAATCATAACTATTTACTTCTCATTCTATAAAAGTACAGCGCTTTTTAAATAATTTAGTTATATATTTAATAATTTAAACTGATCTATATAATTGACTATACCTAAAATATATTGAAATTATGTTTTAATTCATTAACTTTACATTTCTAATAGAATGAAATCTATTTCCAATTTTTGAACATATATCAATTTAAAATTGATAGATTTTATTTTTAAAATATAAAAAATTCTATATTATTAAATTATAACAATCTAAAGTTCAAACAAAAAATTAAAAAGTAATTTCATTCTTTTAAAAAAAATCATAAATTAAAAACCTCATAAAAAGTGTGTATACAAATTATTCGTAATCAATTAAATGAAAAAATGAATACATTATATATATAATGCTATAAATTAATACCTAGAAAAACAAAATGTTTATAAAATTATTTTTCAGAGCATAATATTATAAATAACTAAAATATTATATAAATTTATTAAATGTTTGATAGAAACAAAAAAAATAAACAATTTTCATATATGAATTTAGATACAATAATAGTAACGAAGATTTTTTATAAGAATTAATACATCATCTAAAGCTGATTTTAGAAACTTATTAAATATTATTTAAACATAAGACTATATACTATATATATGGAAGCATATTAATGAAAATATATATTATTATATAGAAAAAAATAATATTAAGTTTAGTATTACAAATTATTATAAAATATTAACTTCTATAAAATCATGTATTTTTAATATATAGAAATATAAAACATATACGCATAAAAAGTTCATTCATTATCGATTATTATTATGTATATTAACTTTCTCTAAAATCATTACCTATGAAATATTGACATTTTATTAAAAAACTCACATTCTCAAAATCAAAAAATATTTTAAGCCTAATCAATATATATATATATATTTATATATTATTATCTTT